TGTTTCACCCTTAGGTTTCGGGTACACTTGCTTGGTCCACTTACCACTGTCGTTTTGTCAGTGAAATTTATCGATAAAGTTTGCAGTTCTTCGAGTAGATGAAGTAATGAGTTGTTTGTTGAGTTTTGAAAATGTTCCAATTGGGACAATGGAGTGTTTGTTTTTAAACATGTTGATGTTTCAGTTTTGTTTAGGACAATTAAATCATGATCCGAAGATTACGAGATTTGTCATTTGCTATGTTTGAATACGAGTTATAAGATTGTGGACTATAATCCTTAGATATCAACTTTTCAATATAATTTTTGTATAAAAGACGAATTAAACACGAAAGAATGGATTTTAGATGCTTGTAAATTGAAATATATTTAATGATTTACTGCAAGAGAGTTTTATTGTGGTTTGAGAACATTAATTTAATATTTTTAAATTTTATATTTAATGCCGGAAAAACCTACATTATAAGATTGTGGACTATAATCCTTAGACATCAATTTTTCAACATAATTTTTGCACAAAAGGCGAATTAAAGACAAACGATTGAACTTAAGATATTCGTAAACTGAAATATATTTAATGATTTACTACCAGAGAGTTAAATTATGGTTTGAGAACTTTAATTTAACATTTTAATTCTTTAATATTTTAATTTAATAAGTCAGAAAAGCCTACGTAATCCTTAAGTCCTTATTTTAAAAATTATTTTGTAACGAAGGATTTTAAAGTAAAAGAATAGACTAAAGATATTGTAAATTAAATGAGTTGATGTATTATTTCCTAAAGAATAAAATCATGATCGGAAAACTGTGAATTCATATTTTTAATGTATCATTGCTTTCATAATCCTTAAGCTTTAAATCTTTACCATTATTTTTGCAATAAATATGACCATATATTTATTGCAAAAATAATGTTAAAGATTTAAAGCTATATAATAATGGTAAAGATTTAAATCTATGAACATATATTTTTATATAAAAGAATTTATTTAAAATACTGAACATTAAGCATAGCCAGTGATTAACTTTAGAAGAATAAAAATTATTTTGTAAATTGTGGGATTTACTATAATTTATTTTTAATACTATTTTGTGTTATGTATGCTTGCGTAATCCCGAGGCTCTTAATATATCAACAATAACTTTAAAATTAAATCATAAGAGATTAGTTTAGAGTATTATAGGTGTTAAATATAATTAGTGAGTGATTACATATTCGGAGCGAATATTTCAACTGTCAAATGCTTGACAAAGCAGAAAACAACATTTAAATTTGACGGGAATGCTTTAAGCACTCCGTAATAAACTCTTTAAACAGCTAGTAGCAATCCTATTTTAAAATGTAAATGCATGAGTGAATGTATGTTTTGACAAATTATTAATTACCAGAATAATTAAACGAAATTTATAAAATAAAAATGTGAGTCCATATTTTGTGCTACATGAGAAATAAAAAATATCTAATCTGAAAAAATAAAAAGAGATAATCTGAAATTCAAATTTGTTTTTATCAGAATGTAAGATAGCATATCTGCTGCTAAAATTACAAATATGAGTCACGAATAAAATAAAATTCATTATTGAGCATCGCTTAAATTCTTAAACATTTGACAGAGATAAAGCATTTTAAAGAGAGCAATTTATAATAAAGGTTTTAATGAATGGTGGTATTTTTTATCTTATCTACATATCATTTTTAAAAATCTTTTTTATACAATAGGACTAAATATATCAGAGCTTCATGACATTTCTTTTTAAATTATTCGATTACCAAATTAATAATCTTAAAGGTAGGGAGTAAGGAAAGCAAATTATTTCTGTTGCTGGGCACTTGACTTGTGCGATCAAAAATTTTCCGTGGTTCACCCGGTTGAATATACCCCTTTAGTAAAACTTTTCTTTCTGCTATTTGAAATAGTTCGAAACTGCTTACTGCACCTCTACGTCCGACAGGAACTTTTGACCTTTCAAGGACATTTTTAAGAGACCAAAGGGATGAAAATCACATGAGAAAAGATCAGGACTATAAGGCAGGTACTCGAGTGTCGCCCACTTTTTAGTGAGTGTAACTTCTGCCGTACAACATTTGGGATAGGGGACGTGAGTTATCATGAGGTAGAATTACCTCAGTTTCGCCTTAATTGCACGTCGTAAACTCTCTCCAGCGTTTCGCAGTATCGTTCCCCAATGACAAAGACACCCAGATCCTTGAAATTACTAAGCACGTTGGTCCTTTTTGGATCCGTCGCCATTGTTAATGTTTCAGCACTTTCCACGCACACACACTTCAAAAATAAATTAATGTCACAAGAATCCCATGCCTTGATGTCTGTGGTATGGGCGATTGGCTAATTTGCATATACGCTGCAGCAACGCCCTCAAACGGAAACTTTTTTCTCCCCTTGCAGTAAGTTTTTCAACACTATCCAGGGTGTACAAAGCAGCCTGATGTCCAATTGGCTAGCGCCCTGGGACCACAGGCGTCAGGCTCCTGGAAGTTTGTTGGTTCGAAATTCTCAATAAATTGTAGGCTCCGATCTAATTTGCCCAAAGTGTGCACAAAATGACCGTAGTGCGGCAAACCAAATCCAAATCCAAGGTGTACAAAAGACTACACGAGAACAGATTATGATACAGCCATAAGAATTATGAAATGTATGCATTTCAAGTGAATTTTGAGAAATACTTCTGTTCCACATTTGTCCCGTATTTATCCAACTATCATTAGTACTGCATTTGCGTGTCATATTGAAGGAAATCCTGATTAATGTAACTAATTAGTTCGATTTTCACATGTGACAATCTGCACAATTGGCAACAAGTTTACGCGTTTCTCACATTAATGATTGTGGGAATATAATTCCAGGAAAACGCACGGTTTACGTGTGGTACAGTAACCCCAAAAGATTAGATGGGGCACCCTTAAATTTCGTAATTATCATTAGATCTTTACATAAGTTATATTGTTGGAAATGGCCTCAAGAGTGAATTATCGTACAATGTACTTGAGTAACAAAATTAAAATTAAACTACTAAATTGAAAATTTTACATTACAGAACCCGAGATTATTAGTGCAATTGATTCAGTATGATAAATACTGTACCCACCAATTTTTGTTTAAAAATTATTACTAGTTTTAAAGTTACAGATCAGGGCTCGTGTCTAAAAATCGCAATCATTTCATTCATTAACTGAATATTAGCTTATAATCTTCTTGTTATCATTACTAAGATAAAAGAAAGAAAAATTCTCATGATTTTAATGAAAAATAACGAAAATAATTAAAGCTGCTTATTTAAATATTCATAATTATACAATTTTATTATTTCGTATTTGATACTTTCTAGAATTAATATAATTTTCAATGACATTCTCATAGGATTAAGTGTGCGATAAGAGATTAAAATGCATTATGAGATGAAAAAAATGGATCTTTTCTTTTTTTTGTAGAAGTCTATGACGTGCAAGTAGAAATCAACACTGAAGATTGTCATTAGTTTTTAACTTCACCTGATTAACTAATAAGCTTTGATTTAAGGTAGCACTAATACGCATTGGTCTTATAAATATATATTGAAGTGTGATGGGTGCAAAAAGACATAATTTTCTTTTCTGTACTGCTTATTTATTGCTAATTGGATTTTTGAAGGATTTTTGAAGGATTATGATTTGATAAAAAAATCTTGTTTTAAATAAAAAAATGTGGAAAAATTTAAACAATTTTTTAAAACTTTTTAGAGACAATTTGAATAAAAGATTAATTACTTTGTATTTTTATTCTTTTAATTACGTAATTTTAAATTTTCAATTAAAAATAATTTAAATACTAGTTTCGTATTAAATGGAATTAATAAAAGTTGAATTGGATTAAAATGAAAAAAAATTGATGGTTGCGAAGTAATAATTCAAACTATCACATATCATTTTATATAATTTGAAATATGATATTTTGAATTATTATATTTGAATTTATATTAGAATCACATGGTCTCGTATTTCGTAAGTTTTCGCATAATAACATTTAAATTGAGAAATAAATATTTGTCTTTTTATTCTTTAAAATATTTTATTGCATGGTGATATGAGATATTCAAATCCAATTAAATAAGATATTATAATAAGTTCACATTTGAAATATTTCTAAATTTGAATGTATTAACTCTGAAATGTTTTCTCAACGTAATGTGTTTAAAAACTTACTTTATTATTATTTTAAATAAAATTCATAATACTAATCATAGTATTATTATGGCAAGTCTGATTGTATGCAAAAGAGAAAGTTCTTATTATTAGATATATAGAATTAAATATATTTAAAAAAGAAAAATTCTGAAATATACATTTTTGTAAAAACTAAAATGTCCTTTTATTTTAAGATAGAATAAGCCTCAAATGTTGTTGTTGAAAATAAACTTGTTAGTTAAACTGCAAGCTTCTGATGTGGTGGAAACGGAATAATGTATTCTAGTAACGCTGTGTGAAGCATTAAAATTTGGGAAGGCTTTGTTTGAATTAAAGATAAAAATAATTTTTATCCACTGAAATGCAGTTGATATTTTGAAAATACATATTGTAATATTTTATAACATGAATTAAAATTAAAATGATCTACTATCATCATATTACATACACAAATGGTTTATTTGGTTATTTTTTATAAAATGTTTCTAGTTTGAATGGAATCAAATACACAGGCATATGCTAAGTATATGCTGTTGTTTCTTATCCCACTTGGCTGGCCAAGCCCACGAGCCCATACGTACTCATGATTGAAAGGGAAGTAAGCAGCTTCTGTTGTGATGGAGCACCCGTAGGTAGAAGTCTGATTTCTGCTCCGTGACGCTCTTACAGTCATAGGAGACCGGGACCTACGGCTTAAAGTGGATTCCGAACCACTACAAACATCCATGGCACCGCCGGGATTCGAACCCCGAAACCTGGGGCACCGAGCGCCAGAGCGCTAGACACTCGGCCATTCAGGTCCCCAATTTGTGAATGCCAACGGCACGCGGTGTTCCCAGGTGGTCACCCACCCAAGTACTGACCGCGCCCAATGATGCTTTCTAACGAGAACCGGTATATTCAGCATAGTATGGCCGTTGGTTAGGTGCTAAGTATATAAATCACATATATAAAATAGTAAAAAGTTTTAATGTTTAATAACATTTGATAAATTAACTTAAAATTTTCCATTAAGAAGACCTTTTTTTTCTCCTGTGCTACAGTTCTGTTAAATCAAAATTCGGGAAAAAATTCTAAAAATCTGTTCTTAAATAGTTATTAATAATTCTTATAGAGTACATTGAATACTGATGTAAGAGGCTTATGTAAGTTAATACATTGACCTTTGAATTTCCTTGACCCTGAAAGCTTCGACTGCAACACAGGCCACAAATAGATTCAATCCTGATTAGCTGCACTCTGTACCATATAGCTAATCAGCTTATAACTTCGCATGCAAAATTTAAGCATACTTAAGCGCATAAGCATACATACAGCTGTAGGATAAAAAAATTCTAGAAAATAAAAACATAAAATATAACCAAAAAGAGAATGAAGAAGTGGCGTTTTAAATAAACAACCAGTCCATATCTGTCATTGCAATTTTCCTCTTGCAATAATTGTTTCTAGAAACGAAGAGACTCGATGGTCAGACAGCTTATAACATTGCATGTCAAATTTAAGCACATGAGAGCTCATAAACACACAATTTTATAAGTTTTCTCTCATACGACATGCAAATGAGTATCCATTTCTCTAAAAATCTTCCCTGTAATCACTGCCATTTTTTATTATTTCTCTTTAGCCGTGTTCGTGTTATACATAGGGGAAATAAAGCACAGAAGAAAAAAATTTTTATCAAATTATATATTATTTGTAAATATTTAAAATTTTTTTTTCCGAAATTTGAAATTCAAAATAACTTTTTGTTTCTTTCCAACACAGCAAATAAATGTACTATGTTCATTATAGATCATATATGTCAGTAAATATTTAATAAATTTGGATAATTTTGAAAATTCTAAAATCAATAGATAGCCCCAACTAATATCGCGATATACCGCTTTAAAAAAGATTTAAAAATTATAATATGGAATTTATTTTTAAATCATAAATACAAAATGTGCCATTCAGGGCCTGTCTTGAATAATTAGTGAGTCAATAGAATAAAATTTAAAAAAAATTTAATGAATGTTTTCTGTTATTTATTAGTATTTATTAGTTTTTGTTATTTTATTAGTTTATTTGAATATTTTCAGGTATAAATATTAAAAAATTAATAATTAAAAAACATTTGATAAATATTTGTACTTAGATTCTATAAAAATTCAACCAAAAACGAATTTATTTATTAAAACATTTTTATCTTCATGTCTCAAAAATCTTTATTTTTAAATATAATACATTTATTTTTCATTACATTTTGTTTAAAAAAAAAAAAACAAATAACTTCTGAATTTTTTCAAGCCCTCTATGTAATTCAGAAATGCATTCTTGTTTTATAAATGAAATGCTAAAGAAATGCATTAATTCAAAAAGAAACGCATCCTGTTTTCTGGAGAGTTATTTATGTTTCAACAAAACGCTTATACATATAAAATTTCCTTTTTATGAAAAAAAGAAAATTTTCTTCATTGGCGTAACTATGACTTTCGTCTCTAAATAACTTCGCCTTAGAGATTCAGTTAAATAAAATGAAATAAAAAAAATAGAGAGATAAAAAAATAGTAACCGAATAGTAATTTATTCTTTCCATTTTGCTTTCACGGATTTTGTGCAATTGCACAAAATAAAAGCAGTGAATCAATTCCACTTGGCGCTTTCATTTTCCTTTTGCAACGGAGCTGCAAAATTCATTTATCTTTTTTCTTTACCGCAGTTTGAGCTTTATCTTACCCCTTTGTTACAAATCTTGTACTTGTCAGTCCTAGAGGGGATGAAAAGCGTAACAATGAATCGAAAGTTTATTTGTTACCTTGGTAACAAAATAGTGGCTGCATTGCATTCTTCGACGCTGATAATATTACTTTCATTTATCATTTATTTTATTATTTCAATTTGAAATGAAATATTTTAAACTATTTTGTATATAAAGTTTATAGTAGTTTTTAATCAAAATCTACGCTCTAAACATTTAAAAGATTTCAGTGCATACAAATAAGATATTTGTATAAAATATAAATACTTTTATAAGTAGCTGATGTAACCATTGTGCTGATTTACGTTAAATGTGATACAAAACTTAAATGTAAATTCTTTTGAATATTTTAAACTATTTGGAAATTTGTTAAGTTTTTAATCAAACATCTACGCTCTCAATATTTAAAAGATTTAGTACACTCACACAAATAAGGTAAAAAAAAAAAAAACCCCGATATTATAAAAAGTTCAATCTCTGGTCGTATTATTATGATCATTAACAATTAGAACAACTGTGGATTAGGAAAATAATTTTATAAGTACCTGATGTAAGCATTTATGAATTTACATTAAATGAATTACAAAACTTAAATGTAAATTCATTTGAATATTTTAAACAATTTTTGTATTTACAGTTGAGTTTTTAATCAAATATCTACGCTCTAAACATCTAAAAGATTTAAGTACAGATAAATAAGGTATATTTTATTATAAAAAAAAACAATCTTTGGTCATATTATTATGACCATTAGAAAATTTGAATTGTGGATTAGAAAAATAATTTTATAAGTAGCTGATGCAACCATTTGTGAATTTTCATTAAGTGAATTGCAAAACTTAACTGTAAATTCATTTGAATATTTTACTTTATCTATGAATTTACAGTTCAGTTTATATTATTATGATCAAAATTTGAACAACCGTGAATTAGGAAAATAATTTCATAAATAACTGATGTAACCATTTATGAATTTACATTAAATGAAATACAAAATGTAACTGTAAATTCAATTGAATATTATAATTTACTTATGAATTTATTGTTAAGTCTATATTATTATGATCATTCGAAAAGCAAACATCTACGCTCTAAACATTTAAAAGATTTAAGTACCAACATATAAGGTAATTTTTATTATAAAAAAATTCAATTTCTTTTCATATTATTATGACCATTAGAATATTTGAACAACTGTGGATTAGGAAAATTAATTTTATAAGTAGCTGACGTAGCTAACGTCTGTGAAATGATATATTTTTTAGTGTGGTAAATTTAGTTAAAAATTATAAGTGAAAAGTTCAAAGAAATCTGAAAAAACATGCTCAGCATAATGCGATAAAATTTCCTCATTCGAGACGATAGAAAACCATTATAATCCTTATTAATTCTTACATTTTCTTGTTTATATTTCAATATCATAATTTTAATACAGCAAAAAAGTTATATAAAACAAATTTAAAACATAGAATTAAGATAAAGTAAATAAGAAATAGGCAAGAATCTAGAAAATTTAACATATGAAATCAGCAATCATTTGGTTTTTCCTGTAAATTGATATATTTTAACCGATTATTTAAGAAACAATTATGATTCAAAATAATAAAGATATAACAGGAACTAAATTATACACATAAACTGACAAGTGAGTTTTTATTAATAAAAGAACTAGTTATTTCTTGTATCCATTTCTAAGTGCTTAAAATTCATTCAAATAATAGACAATATTCAATTAATAGGCACATTCAATTAATAGACAATATTTATTTTGCTTCATTACAGCAAAATAAAAAATGAACTTTGATAAGAATGGAAAAAAAATACGTTTTAAGCCTGTTTAATGGAACTTTAGAAGTAAATGGAAAAAAAAAAAAAAAAAAAGTTTAAAAAAAAAAAAGCATAGTCGCAGAAAATTACAAAAGTTATCATTTTAATTACAAGAGATTATTTAATTAAATTCTTCTGCTTGTCCTCTCAAATTCTTACTAATTATGTATATATAAGAAATATATTAATTAATAATAATAGCTTAGTAAGTTGAATAGCGCATAAAAAAACTATGACGTCATTTACCATTTGTAATTATTTTACAACTTTTGTTGAAGTAAATAATTTGAAACCACGATTTAACAATAAAATGTAACATTTTTATTTAATTAAAACTGTTTGGTTTTGTAATTTTTGGCTACTCACCAGATAAAATATTATTGAATTCTGAGAAAAAAATTGAAGTTCTAAATTGTAGGAAATACAAACACTGAAACTTTGTCCTTATAGTTTAAAAAATAATCGTGAATAAATAAACAAAATAGAGATTTGTTTGAATTATATATTTTAATATAAATTTGTAATTAATGGGGCAAAATTCCGTTTAGTTTTAAAAATGTTATTAATGTTATTTATCAATAACATTATTATATTTTATTTTTTATAATGATCAGAATAAGTTACTTATATTAATTCCACAGTTGCAAGCATTAAATTTTCAGGATTAGGATTACAGCTTGGATAAACGTGTATATGAAAGCATTACATTTTATCCTTTACCGAGAATAAAAAAAAAAGTGCATTTTAAACATGAATTACATTTTTTGAGGAATTGCAATAAAAAATTTTAGTTTAATTTTCCAATCAAACTGTGGTCCATTATCTAACCTCGTTTATATATTTAATATCAGTAGTATATTGACTACAAAAATATATTTATTATTTTAAAAAGAACAAAATAAATTGTAACAATAAGTATTTGGAATATTCCTGACAAAAAATAGCTCCCGTTTCGGGAATGTTCAATAAAAATTTAGAGTCACGAACAAAAATACAATAAAAGTTTCCTTTTTCTTGCACCATTTTATATGTCCTGATCAAATCTACTATTTTACTTACGGTTCTTAAATTTATTCTGGGGATTTCAAACAATACGGACATTCTTACATTTCTTTTTTCGCAAAGTCCCGTTATTTATTACTTTTAAGACATAAAATACATTGTTTTTTGTGACATTCAAGAAATCTCTCTTCCTGTTTCTGATACGAACTCATAAAAGACATGCTGGTTTCTCCCGTTCAAGAAAATTGCTTCCTATAAAGCATTCTTAGGAGTAGATGTATATATTCCATCCTCCATTGGGCCCCGGGTTCTCAGGTTTCATTTTCTCCCTTCCTGTCTTCTATTTACTCATA